GTTTGCACAGCAGATGTCTCAGCATAGCATTCCCTCCCACTACTGCTGTGAGAAAAACAACAAACCACAGATCTAAATTTTTAATTTCCACGACAGGTTAAATCGGTTTTCACAAGTCTTAAAACGTCCCTGTTATCTCTAATCAGCCCTGAGGAACACCGCGGCCCACAAAAAGCTTCTTCCTGATCCCCGAGGGAAGGCGTTCCACAAACGGTTCACAGATAAAAAATCATCTGAGCTCCGTAAGTTGTCTCCTAAAATATTTAAATCAGCTCCTAAAACTGTTGTGGAAACTAATCGTCTCACATGGATCGATAAAGTTTTTCACAAATTTTAATCAAAACGAAAACAGTTTTTTTGTTCTTTAGTCTTTGCTTTGTGACCGAGTCCAGCTGTGTGATGTGAGAGTAAAGTTTTGTCTGTAAGGTGATTATAATATGAACTGTATGTGAGTGATTTTTTTCTTCATTTTTATATAAAACATGAGGTATAAATACAAATTTTAATGRAATTAAACATGAATAAAAACATTTAAGTGTTGTTATACCTCCTTGTCTATAACATATCATCTTACTGAGTTTGTTTTGTCTTTTTCTTCCTCCACACTTGTTACATTTTAAGCTTCTCAAACCACATTTTTACACACAGAGTACACAGCAATACTGATCCACTGAGACCATAAAGTAGTTTACCAGGMTGTTTACCATCACTGCAGGGAAACAGCACAGCACAGTGAAAGAAAAAAGAACCAGAGGAATACTTTGGGTTTGAGTTTCCCTCCGAAGTGTAGACAAACCAGGCTCTGCTTTGACACAAACATGAAATGACAGAGATGGTTGGTCTAAAGCTGCAYCTCAGACCCAAAACTTAAAAAAGCATTAAATCATTAAACTCATTAAAAGATGGCAAAACAAATGAAACTGAATCTTTTTTCCAAATATACCTTTCTAGCTGTAAACACAGTCTCTACAATTTACAACTGTGCTCCTATACTGATCAGTCCAAAATAAACTTTAAAATTTTTTTTACAAATACATCTATTAAAAATAGATTTATCTGCTTATGCAAAGCGTTTGAAGAACACAGAACTCCAGTGACAAAACAGTTTAAGGGAAGCCAGCTCAGATCTGGACACCACGGCACACCTGTCACCTCACCATCACAAACAGCTGGGGAGGGGGGCGGGGCCAACAGAAAGAACCAACATGAACAACTGGGAACAAGAAAAGCATCAATCACCTAAACCGTCACGAACGTGGAGATTTCTGTTTATAAATACAAGTAGGAAACAAACAACGAGAACAGGTGGACACGATAAGCTCGTTATGGTGGAAACAGAACTCAGGTCACCCTCACAGAAAAAATACAAAAAAGAAAAAAAAACATAACTTCATTGAAACGGCATTAAACAATACAGTGTGAATAAATACCACCCCCGTTCAGTCGTCGTGGATTAAGGCACAGRGCATGCCTACATCAAAACAGGATGGGTCTTAAAGGGGACATATCATGTAAAATTCACTTRTTTTAAGCCTTTAAATAACATTTTGTTGTTCCATATTTTCTACAACGTTTTCTGAACTATTACAGAACTGCCAAATAAGGTCTGAGCYACTACAATTTCACCGTCTTCATTTTCCTCTAGCTCAGAAAAGGGGCGGGGCTTGTGAACTTACAATACAGAGGAAAGAGCAAAGCATTGCCATTTCATTTTATAAAGAGCCCTGAAGGATTTAAATGTGAAAAAGTATGATATGTCCACTTTAAACGAGAGTGTGAAATTTATTTGCAAATCTCAGTACTGACAGAAAAGGCAACTTTTGTGGGGGGGAGTTATAAAACTTTGCTTTGTGGCATTATATTGTATGTGTGAAATCCAACTCGTATTGAATTATATTATATTGTGATTAAACACTGTTTAAACCTGTTGTTTTTAATGAAGCAGATCTTTGGCATTATGAAGATACAGATCACAATTCTTTTAAAAACCTGTGCAATTATTTGAGTGCACGTTTGTAAAAAAAAAAAAAGCCATTTTTGCCAATTCATTTCTCCTCAGTAAGCATCTTGTTGTACTCCAATGTAAGAACATGTCCGTGCACATTTCCCTTTTTTAGTACGTCATTCGTTTGTGACCTGCTGCCGCGCAAAAAAAAAAAAAAAAAAAAAAAAAAAAAAAA